AGGAGTGATTAATGTGTCGGTGCTCTTTGGGTAAGGGATACATATGGATAAACAGCAACATTATAAGACCAAGGCACTCAAAAGAAAAGTTAAAATGATGTAAAAAAAAAAATGCAAACTGCTGCAGTTTTGATGTTAATAATGAAATGAAATATTTTTTTTTACTTTTTTCGAATGCCTTGGACTTAATTACTAATTATTTACCTATTTAGTAACATACTAACTAATTTTGCTGTTTATTTTTATTTATAGTTTATTTTAAATGCCCTTCACAAATATTGACTGCTTTAGTAAAGGTGAAAAAATTACTTTTGCTCAGGTTGGTTTATAAAATAATAATAATAATAATAATAATAATAATAATAATAATAATAATAATAATAATAATAATAATAATAATAATAATAATAATAATAATAATAATAATAATACATTTGTGCCAACATTATTGATACCTGAATTCATATGAGCAGAATATTTTCCCAATATACTCACAAAGATGATCAAGAAGCAACAAACAAACAAAAAAATGAAAACAGCTATTTTTACCCTCAAGGCAATAATTAAGACATTCCAGTTAACTAAAAGCTTTATGAATCAGCCTGAAAGAGGATGCATGTCTGTCTTGTCTCAATGTACTGTCAGGAGGATGGTTTGACCGGTCAAATATTTTCAAAGATCGCAGAAAATGTCAGCTAAATCACCACAGATTGCCATCAGGCACTTCAATGTCAAAATGGCATCAAAAACTAGTTAAAAAAAAACAAACAAACCAATGAACTGCCTTGATGTCAAAACAACATCAAATGGACATCTGATTTATCTGTTTCAAACTTTAATATGAAGTCATTTGGTGGCAGGGCTTTTAGTTGTACAGCACGAGTCATGGAACTCCCAACCTTTGCCCTTTCAGCAGGTGGACACTATTTCCAATTTTAAATCTCAGATAGGTTTTAATGACTTGCTAGTTTAATATCATGTCTATTGCTTTTTACTGCTTGTTTTTTTTAAGATCCGCTTGCCATATTCTGTAAAGTGTCCCTGAGTGATTTGAAAGGTGCCTATAAATAAAATGTATTATTATTATTATTATTATTATTATTACTATCTAAAATTGGCAATTGAAAAGGTTTCTGTTAAGTTTTGACATATATATTTAATACCAATGTTAGATGTCAATTTGATGTTGTTTAGACATTAAGATAGATACAAAGTTCTATTGTACATTTGTAATTTGTAATTGTAGCTTTCAGATAAATAAAACATTTTGTTTATTATAATGCTTTTTGTGTTCTTATTTTGGTGGTCAAAAGGGCATTCATGTGTAGATGTTGAGGTTTTGACATTAAATTTGCATTTTTAACATGTTTTTAAAAATATTTTCTGATGTCTTTTCATTATCAAGGTCATTGTCAAGACCACAGGGTTGTTTGGAAGGGTTTTGAAAGAAAAAATCTTCTACCTTCATCCAAAAACTCAAGCTAACTTCTTATTATTTTGAACAAAAACCAACAATAAAGACATTTTGATGGCCTTTTTTGCTTATATTCACTGTATAGAAGGCTAAGGTGGTCATTTACTAGTTGTAAACAGGTTGACTATGTTTTCTGCTGAACACAAATGAAAATATTTTAAAGACAGCTAAAAACCTGTAACCATTAACTTCCATAGTATTTTTCTATGCAACTCAAAAGTTATAAAAATATATTCTTTAAAGTTCAACAGACAAGAGAAACTAAATAGTGAGGACATGTTCATGTTTGGGTGGACTATCCTCTTAAGCACCTTATATAGGTATAAGAAACAATTAATTTTCAAAACATTGGATGCCCAGTAGGCTAAACACAAGACACAATACAAGACACTTGTCATGTAAACACATAGTAGCATTTCTAATCATATCAACATCAGTGACAATAGAGACATGAGTGGGCACTAGGGAGATTACACTGTCTCCAAACATTAGAGAGGAAACACGACAAACAAACAGGATGGCAGGAGAGGAGGATCACTGCTATATGTAGACTTCCTATCGGACAGAGAGTTTCCTGTGGGATGAGGCTGTCACTCTAATTTTGCTCAAGAATTCAAATGAAACTAATAAATTATCTTTTTTTGAAGTTGTGAGTTTATAATCGAGTGTAATTGAAAAAAGGAGGATAAGCTTTCCATTCTACTTTGTTAGGACAGGACAATATTTACAATATTTATATTATACATCACATGTCAAGATCATACCTGTCAACCCTTTCGTTTATCCAGAGATTCCCTCGTATTTTACAATTGTATCCCACTATCATCCCGTAAAGGTATTTTCCTGTATTTCTCCCATATTTTCAATCTTTCTATGAAGGGTGGCCATAAACATTAAAGGAACGATCCTCTCTATACGTAAACCATACCGCCGAACCACAATGGGATGTCCCTTGCGCTTAAATGTGAGTCTGTTCTGTGCTTTCATTTTATTTATAGGCATGAAAACACTTTGATATAAAAAGAAAAAATGGCAGGAGTCAATTCTTTTCCATTACAGGCACCATTGCTCCTCCTATGCAATTCTCAAAACAGTCATTTCATGTAGTGGTGCGTGACTGTCAGACGTGCTCCAGAGTGATAAACAGATGCTGATTCTGCACATGCGATTTAAATTGAAGCGAAAGTGGACACTCGGGGTTTTGGGTGCGTGTTTGAACAGACATAATAATAATAATAATAACAACAACATCTAATGTGGATTTTAGTGGGTTTTAAACACAAAAACTTTTGTCTTAAATGAGCACAAACCGTAAAAAAGCAATCTAATGCTTTTATTATAGATGTGTGCATTTTTAAAGTGACACCTCTGTTATTTAATGTGATCAAACGAAAAATCTGAATGAGAGCTTCATTCGCTGTTCTTTAATCAGAAGGTTTAAATGGTAACACTTTACAATAACAGTACATACATAATGATGTGCTAAACATTTCTTTATTATGATTTAATGATCAGTTAATGCATGTGCTAATCATGAATTAACTTTAACTACAACATGAGTACAACAAGAATTCATGAGTAAATAACAGCCACCTTAATTACTTGTAAGTACATGTTGTTAATTAAAGTATTTAATAACATTTAAGTTTAAGCTAAATGTAACCAACATGAACTCATGAGCTGTTATGTATAAGTATGTCATGACTTTACTTGGAGGGGCACATCATCATTAACTCATCCTTATGAACTCCTGTGTTCAAACTGTTGATGTTGATGGAACACTTTTCTATTGTTATTCTGTGTAAACGCACTAGACTGACATGCATTAGGAGTTCATGAGTAGTTAAGAATGGGTAATAAATGATGTGCCCCTCCAAGTAAAGTCATAATATAATTAAACATTAACATGTCTTGAGTTCATGACATCATAATGTAACTCATCATTAGTCCCTAATAAAGTAGTTTAGTTTACATATTAATCCATCACTATTTATGGACTGCTATTGTAAAGTGTTATCGTTTAATTATACAGTGAAGAAAAGGTTAATAAGATTTGATAACTTGATTCAATTCCTTTATAATAGCTATTAATATGAATAGGCTAAACTGTTTGCAAATTTTTTGCAGCTTTTTCAAATGAATACTATTTATTATATCCTTTGTAAATATTAATAAAATGTATTAATGACCATTTCAAATGTTTATTTATGCCATTAAACGGTTGAACCAGCTCCTGAGGAACATATTTGATCATTTCAGTGTCTCTTATTTTCACATGCCAACGTTGACAGGTATGGCAGAGATACAACTATCTGGAATCTAGTTGTTCCAAAAACAAACAAAAAAAACACCTTTAAAGTTTTCTAAATAAAGTGCTATAAAAAATTAGGTTTTGATATATTTACAGTAAGAAATTTACGAAATAACTTCATGGAACTTATTATATTATATTATTATATTATAGTGTAATGATTTTGTTATGATTTTTTACATCATTAATTCTTATCCAGACAGTGCTTTTGTGGCTATTGACAAAATGATATTCCTGCAACACAAGATTTTGTGGTTCAGGGTCACAAATAATATAACCAATTTTACATTTACAATTATTCAAAATTATTCATCCCCCCATCCCAAATCCAGAGATATAAATTATTATTATGAGATATACAGTGGTTACAACTGCAGAATTAAGTCCAGAATTAAATCAGAATTGCAAGGCATCACCACAGTTGAAGTCACAATTGGATGTAGTAAATCTAATTATTATTATTATTATTATTTTTTATTACTGATTGGTTTATTCTTTTATTAACTTTTATTTAGTGCAAAAAAATCCAATCTTTTCAAATCTTTTTATCTTCATTTTTAACACAAAATAAGATAAAAAATTAAAAATAAAACAAAACTATTCATAATTAATAATATAATAAATTTCCTTTGGAAAACCTGATGCGGCCCAGCCTCACCCAGACTCTGCCTCCAGCGACTATGATGTAAATTGAGTTTGAGACCCCTGGTTTAAGGTAATAAAGTCACAATTATGAGATCAAAAGCCACATTACCACGTATACCACGTTACATATATATCACGTCAGTCCCATGATGAAATACAAAGCATTTTCTGTGAGCATACTTTCTCTCAGGTGCTAATAACACATCATCAGACTTATAATTTCCTGGCTCCAAGGCTACTATTGAGCATGAGTCACTCTTTCTCTCCATGTTGAGGGGGCTGCACAGGGCAGGGGCTCAAGTGAACACAATATTCCAACAGGCACTTGCTCAAACGTTCCGTTGACTTTGGCTGTTTGTTTCCTAAAGACACTGGGCTCGACAAGGCATTCCAGCCCAGCCAGCACAAAGAGCTCTTTTCAACACATTTAATCCCTGCAGAGGAGTGGCAAAGGGGGCCTGGCTCTCCTTCACTGAGGACCACTGGACCCAGACTCCAAATTCATAGACACGCAAAACACAAAGCATGCAGAAAAAGCAAAAGAGTAGGGATTCAAGACATTTGCTTTACCTTCGCAGAGAGGTTATTCTTGAGCACCTGTTCACATCCTCTGGACAGAAGCTCCAAAGCCATGGGCTGCTTTTAAGAAATCTCAAATTTCTAATCCAATGTCTTAAAAATCAATCCAAAAGCTTTGTTTTGTGCTTCTATCTTAAAATTCTTTACAACAAGAACATGATGTCAGACCTTCCAGATGTGTGTCAGGCATTGCCAGTGCCCTTCAGTGCCAGTGTGCAACCCTTCAAGACCTTGGCGAAAGTTCTCATTTCTTTAATCTTCTTCCAAAAATGTGCAACGCTCAAAGCCAAGAATTTTACCTCAGCTAGAAAGTGGCTCACACGCAGGGCCTCGAGGCACATGAGGAACAACGTCAACACCTCCTTCGGCTGTGCTATTAAAAGCTGACACAATGGGTTGCTGCCAAAACAAGCGTCCCAGAATCACCCCTCTGGTTCTTGACTCGCCACACTCCTCCAGACATCAGATGAACTGTGCAGAGAAACGCTGAGTATTACCAAAAGCTGGTTTGTATTCGGTGAGATCGTCTCAGAGAGTAATCGAAGGAGGGGTGGTGTGTTAGTAAATGGGAGGAGGTGGACATGGAGCAAAGGAAGCAGCTTTGGAAATCTCTTGGTCTAATGGAAACATCGTCAACAACATCCTTCCTCCAGCTCTTCTTTGTTTAAGACTCTTATTAAGTATCAATACATATACTAAGGAAAAGGCTGCAATACATTTTTCCCTTTTACTTTTTTTAGACACTTTTTTGCTGATATTTGTGAGATTTTGATTTTAAAATGCATTGGGAGAATATTCCAAAGTAGGTGAAAAAAACTACATCCAAATTCACAGAACACATAAAATAGTTTGCGAAAATTACCCAAATGACTTTGTAAGTGCACATGTGATGAATGCTTTACTATCAGGCTATGGAAAAGTAGCTGTGAATGGCAGGAGATATTGACATTGCCATAGTGTGGTCACATTTACAAGGTTTTCATGGATTGCAAACCCATTTGTGTCATAGATTGCTAATCTATATGAGGGAATCTCATCCTTGTACAAAATTGCCAGATTTGAATCAATTAATATTTAACTGATTGACTGGATTTCATGCACACACACACATCACAATTAGTCATGTTAAGACAAATTGGCTTTCGATACTACACGCATTCTAAGCATGGTGAATGCAGAAGTGTTGTTTATGTTTGCCATGTCTCTTTTCTAGGAACAAGGCAAAAGTTTTTTTTTTATTCATTCATTCATTTTCTTTATGGATTAGACCCATTATTAATCTAGGGTTGCCACAGCGGAATGAACCGCCAAATTATTCAGCATATTTTTTACGCAGCGGATGCCCTTTCAGCTACAACCCATTACTGGGAAACATCCGTACACACTCAATCACACACTATGGACAATCTGCTTTCCCAATTCACCTATACCACATGTTTTTGGACTTGTGGGGAAATATTATATATATATATATATATATATATATATATATATATATATATATATTATGGGTAAAATCAGCTGCATGGGTAAGCTAAGCTTAATAAATAAATAACAAATAAAAAAAATAAATAAAATAAAACTGCTAACACATGGTTTAGAACAGCCAGTTTTTCTTTTTTTGTTTGTTTTAAAGCTTGTCTAGTCATCTTTTGGTGTAAAAAAAAAATGTTTCAGACAGTGTGAAATAAAAAGGAGTGCGTCATTAATTATCAAGATGACCACAGTTTTTCTAGCCAGCAACAACTTTTGAGCACAGCTGGAGCTGGTCTTACGGTGAGTCTGACCTGACATTATGCAAGTCTGATAACAAACATGTTTGATAAAATGACCCCGGCTCCATTTCTATGGGAGACCTTTCAAATCCCAAATGAAATTTCACACAGGACGCTGGAGTGTTAGCAGTGAATAATGATGCTCAGGAAAATGTTTTTAAGTGTGCAGAGGATGTCAGACAGTGGGAGGAAGAGCAAAAGCAGGAGATTGGAAAGATTGCAGATGTTGCATTGCAGCCACTCACACACAACCTTCCAAGACTTTGCTACATTTATCAAAAAACTAATAAATAAATAAATAAAAATGTGAAGTCACAGCCATGACAATAATACACTTTTGCTATAGTTTTTAGGAGGTTCACATTTATTGTGATTATTGTGCTGCTAAAGTAGATATTGCTACAGTATGTTGTTACTAAGTTTTTATTATATGGCATGAGATGCAGATGTGAATGATACACAATCATCTTTGATGGTCATTTATAGCACAAGCAAACAAACAAACCAGGAGCCAAAAACAAAGCACACATTTCTGCATTCCACTGCACTGGAATGCTTTTCCATTGTTGTTTTATAAACAAGAGCTAGATAAATGGGTCTGTTCACTGTGTATGCATGTCTTGTAGCTTGACACAGCTTTCTAAAACCTTTTTTAAAGGTTTTTTTGTAACTATTCAAAACTGAATAAATTATCTAATAACCATGGTTTGTTCTGTAACCAATCAGAAAAAAAAAATTTGAGGGGGCTAATATTGACCTTTAAAATCTTTTAACTTTTATTGCAGTCAAACAAAAAAGAATATGATGTCCAGAAGAAGAAAAAATATTAGAGGAAGTACTGAAAAATGTCCTTGCTGTTAAACAGTGGGGAAATATTTGGAAAAAAAAAATCTAATGTCTTGTTTATTTCACGAGTAAATTTTCCTGCTTAAACAGTTTCAAAAGACAAACTGGTGTGACTACATTTACATTTTTTACATTTACATTTAGTCATTTAGCAGATGCTTTTATCCAAAGCGACTTACAAATGAGGACAAGGAAGCAATTTACACAACTATAGAAGCAACAATGAATAAGTGCTACAAGCAAGTTTCAGGTCTGTAAAGTCTAAGAAGGAAAGTATTAGTAATTTTTTTTTTTTTTAGTACAGTTAGTGGTTTATCCAGAGAGGCAATTGCAGATTAGGGAGTGAAGTGGAGACTAAATAGCTGAGTTTTTAGTCGTTTCTTGAAAATAGCGAGTGTCTCTGCCGTTCTGATGCAGTTAGGGAGTTCATTCCACCAACTGGGCAGATTGAGCATGAGCGTTCAGGAAAGTGATTTTTCCCTCTTTGGGATGGAACCACGAGGCGACGTTCATTCACAGAACGCAAGTTTCTGGAGGGCACATAAATCTGCAGAAGTGAGAGCAGATAAGACGGAGCAAAGCCAGAGGTCGCTTTGTAAGCAAACATCAGAGCTTTGAATTTGATGCGAGCAGCAACTGGCAGCCAGTACAAACGGATGAGCAGCGGAGTGACATGTGCTCTTTTAGGTTCATTAAAGACCACTCGTGCTGCTGCATTCTGGAGCAGCTGATGAGGCTTGACAGAGTTAGCTGGAAGCCCTGCTAGTAGAGAGTTGCAGTAATCCAGTTTGGAGAGAACAAGAGCTTGAACAAGGAGTTGAGCTGCATGTTCAGATAAGAAGGGTCAGATCTTTCTTACGTTATAGAGTGCGAATCTGCACGATCGAGCAGTTCTAGAAATGTGATCAGAGAAGTTTGGTTGGTCATCAGTAGTTACTCCAAGGCTTTTTACCATTTTAGATGCAGTAATGGTTGCCCAATGGTTTCTTAAAGCCGGATTGCTTGTTGTCCATGAGATTGTTTTGAGTAAGAAAGTCCAGGCTTGATTGAACACTACTTTCTCCAGAATCTTGGCCATGAATGGAAGCAGGGATACCGGTCTGTAGTTTTCAAGTAGCGTATGGTCCTGGTTGGGTTTCTTCAGCAGTGGGGTTACCCTAGCCTGCTTAAATGAAGTGGGGAAAAAACCTGAGCCAAGAGATGTGTTAATTATGTGAGTCAGTGTTGGTATGACTGCAGGAGAGATGGCTTGCAAGAGATGAGAGGGAATGGGATCAAGTGGACAGGTGGTTGCATGGCTAGATAGCACGAGTTTGGACACCTCAGACTCAGAAAGCTGAGAAAAAGAGGTGAGTGTGTGTGGTTTTGGTGGTGTTTCTTGCGTGTTTGTTGTAGGTGCAGCAAATTGAGCACTGATTTTTGCAGTTTTGGTGCAAAAGAATGTAGCAAAGTCATCAGTAGTAAGTGTGGAGGATGCGGGTGGAGGAGGAGGATAGAGGAGGGAGGAAAATGTTTTAAAAAGTAGGCGAGGATTAGTGGCATTGTTGATTTTAAGACGGTAATATGTCTGCTTTGCAGAAGTAACCTTAGCTGAGAAAGAGGACAGAAGAGTTTGGTATGTTAAGAGCTGTGCAGGATTTTTAGTTTTCCGCCAAATTCTTTCTGCAGCTCGAAGTTTTGAGCAATGCTCACGGAGAGCATCCGAGAGCCAGGGTGCAGGAGGACTGGCACGGGCTGGCCTGGATGTAAGAGGACATAATTTGTCTAGACATGATGCTAGTGTGGAGCAGAGTGTATCAGTGGCACTGTTCGTATCAAGTGCAGAGAGTTTGCAAGATGGAGGAAGAGAGTCTGAAACAATGGTGGATAATCTATTGGGTGAGAGAGAGCGTAGGTTTCTGCGAAAGGCAACCAGTGTTGGAGTGTGTGGCGGCTCAGGAGTAATGTGGATGTTGAGGGACAGAAGGAAATGATCCGATATTTGTAGTGGAGTTACTAGTGTTTGATCAGTGAAGCAATGTCATGTGTAAATAAGGTCTAGCTGATTTCCTGATTTGTGGGTAGCAGAAGTTATACACTGTTAATACACTGTTATAATACACTACACTGTTAATACACACACACACACACACACACACACACACACACACACACACACACACACACACACACACATATATATATATATATATATATATATATATATATATATATATATATATATATATATATATATATATATATATACTGTACAACTTTAGTTGTAACTTTAGTCAACTGTATCAAATGAAATGAGTGTAGTTAACTCAAAATTTACTGAAAGTTAATTTTACTAATTTAAAGAGTTTTGATCTCAGTGTTGAAGGTAATATGTTACCTCATACCTCATTATTTAAACTTAAATGGAGTGAGTGATATATGGAGTGATATATATATATATATATATATACTGTAAAACCCAAAAAGTTAAGGTAACTCAAACAGTTTAAGGGAACTGATATATATATATATATATATATAGCAACCATAATTATTTATGATTAGTATACAATAAAAAATTGCCCTCCACGAGGAAATGCATCATACATTTCATCACTGAGCAGTACTGGATCAAATGTGCAGTTGTGTCATTTACAGAAATGGCACATATCAGTTTTACCAAAGCTTATGAGTATGATGTCATTTCAGCCAAAACAGGAATCAGCTCGTCAACTTCCTAGAAAAGTTACTTCAGCTCATAAACACTTCCAAACTACTATTGGCTCACCATGGTGATGATGCAATAGGTTCATTTAACCTTTTAAATGTCTTCTGTTAAGTCTGTCAAATGTCCATGAGTATATAAAAAACAATGCTTTAGTAGAAAATACAATTCCAAGTGAAAGCATTAAAAATGTCTTGCTTTA